CCGCCCTTCCCCTCGCAGCCCCAAATCCCGCACCGAACTCAGCATCGGCAGTTCTATTTTCGACACGATTCGACTGTGCGTACACGGCAAGAGTAAAAACGGCAACTTGTTGATGGGGTGTTGGGTCGGGGGGAGCACGAAACGATGCCGCGGCGCGGGAGGGTGGGGGTCGATCAAGGATGGTGGGGGTTTGGATCTCTCCCCCCGCCCTCGCTGGATCGATACAGCTCGCACACGGTCACAGCTCGGCCGTTCCCTCCTTTGTTTTATTTTCCTTTCGGCGTTCAATTTTCCACGAATTAGCCGTCTCTTTGCGGACGACGGCGGCGACGCCGCGACGTCCGAGAGAAATTACACTGCAGAGGGTGACACCTTTGCTGCTTTTAGTTTTAGAACTGGTGGAATTCAAACCTCTAACAGGCTACTAAACACAGAACCGAAGGAGGGGAAGTTTGACAGTCGTATTTCCGAAAACCCCGGAGATTTTATAACCTGAAAATCCGTCAAAAGCAAAACACACGTTCAGAAGATTCAATTATCCTATTTGGAACCAATTTTAGATTTGTATGTGTCATCACTGTATTTTATGATTAGTTCTTAGTTTCAGTTTTGGATTTTTAATATTTTGACATATTTATTTTTTGATACTACTGAACGTTACGCTAAATAAAAATAAAATCTTAAATCGGATTAAATACTCCTCATATCGGAGTCCGGCTTATCGCCTTTGTCCGACTCTGTCAGATATAGACACAAGTTATTTTTCATTTCAAAAGGATAAAAAAGGTTCATTTAGTGTATCAATACGTCAGTGTTTTTAAAAAAGGTACATTTAGTGTATCAGTACTTCAGTGTTTTTCAATAACAAAATTAAAAATGTATACTAAACATTTGTCTGACAAAGCCTTTCCTACAATTTATATCATCTAGTACCAGAAGAAAAAATATGTAAATAAAATAAGTATCAGGTATCAGGTGACGCTCTATTACAAAAATGCTCTGGACAGTGCTGAAGAGCACTGGTATCAATAACAATAACAAATTAACGGCTCATCCATGGTAAAAACTATAACTATAATAATTTTAGTCGCATTACAAATCTTTCACAGTTTCTAATATTTTTGACATTATCAGGAAGTTGATTATATGTGTTGGAAGCTTGATAGAGTAAAATAAGCCCTTGTTACTTTTGGTGATGTTACGACGTATATAATTTTCTATCCTGGTGTTGCGTGAATGTATATTTCTGGATATTTTTAAGTTTGTTTTATGAGTTTTATTTAAAATTATATATATAAGTTTATATAATTCCAAACGTCATACTTTATCCAGTTTCTAAATCCCTAAATTCCTACATAGACCCTTCGTGTGAGTTATTCCGTAATGATTATAGTAAATTTTTAATATTTTATTCTAGAACCCTTGCATCGAATTTACGTTTACAAACCCACAGGTGCCCCCAGCCAGGAATAAAATACCTGAAGTGCTTTAAAAAGAAGTATTAATCTTAGCATTAAAAGATGGGTGGCCTCTATACAACCTCTGTACAGTACAGTACACGAATCATTGGTGTAATTTTACCAGAAATATGTCCAATGTGTTCAGTCCAACTGAGCTTACTATCTAGGTATTTTATCTTTGTTACATGCTCAATACGATTATGGTTTCGTTTTATATTCAGTATTTGTGCAGTTTTGTTTTTCTGTTTAAATAACATAAATTTGGTTTTGCTAACATTGATTTTTACATTACCAAAACTGTAAACAAGCACTGCGAAGTCAGCAAATGTATAATATCTTGGGCCTTGTGGTACCCAAAATTACAACCTTCCGTACGACTGATATTTGTACCTAATCTTAAATACTCTTGTATATCAGACAAATAGGATTGCATAATGTTATACATGTCACCTCTGAACCCCATATAATATAATTTTTTCAATAAAGCATCAATACTGCTATTTATTATTTACAAGATCGACCACGGCGCTTTAAGTACCACTGGCTTTAATACAGCCATACTGAAATTCATCGAGATCTATGTACTTACTGATAAAAGACATCATTCTTTTCGTAATTACAATCTCAACACCTCTTACAAACACTAGTAACACTAATTATCCATACATTTTCTACAACCAGGCTTAGATATAGACTTATTCAATTAATTTTTAATTAATGTGGAAAAACCCCACTGACCAGGATCCCGTTAACTAGCTTAACTAAAATGACTACAAGATCATCTCTGACATTGAGTACAGCTTGAACCTTTACCTGATCATGACCAAGGGCCGACGCCAATTTTACAACGGACCTACTAAGCTACAATAGAAAAGCCGTAAGAATGATGGTAGGTCTGCTGACAGGCACTGCAGGCTTAACAGGCATTTAAGCCTGATGGAAGTGGAAGAAAACACAGAATGTAGATTCTGTCAGGAAGAGGAAGAAACGGCCGCACACGTACTGTGGAACTGCGAAGGCCTGCGAGAGCTATACGAGGGAGCCATTATCGAAGTTGTGGAGTCTGGTTAGAGAGACGACCCCGGATAAAGCTCTATAGCTATGGAGAGGGTCACAATAGATCCTCTGGGCCGCAGTGACGGATAGACTGACTGCCAGCTCTCCCAACTGTTAATCTAATCTAATCTAAGGGTCGACGCTTCTAATCCTAATAATATATTCTTGTTCATTACACAGATCCAAAAATATTGAATTATTAGAATAAATTTCATTAAATTGTTTGTAAAAGGTTATCATCTATTTGATTGTCTTTTTCTTGTACTATGTTTTTACCTACGTTAGAGAAGTTGACGTTCATTAGCTATATTAATTTCACCACCAATTTTCCTATTGTTCACAATTATAGATTTTTTATTATCAACGTTATTTTTATTTTTCAGGAAATCATTAATAAATCGCAACTGTCTTTTGGAATCATTGCCACAGCCACACCATTTTTTTTTAATTGTGATGTTTTAAAATTTGAATATTAAATATTACCTTTTTTTTGAAGTCTTGTATTCCCCACCACGTATGTGATTGTCAGGGTGTTTTCATGGCATCGGCTACCTTATTGTGGTCTACGCTTTTAACTTCATACACTAGTTTTGGTTTATATGTGCGATGATAAATACTAATTTGTTATGATCAGACAAAGTATTATCTTCAATCACAATGGGCGAATAACATTTGAAGCCTGCTTGGTATACTATTACGTAATCTAGAATAGTCCTGGAGTTGGGAGGTTACTAGAGTAGCATGATCAGGTTCAATAGTAATTTTAATAAAATAATTATGTAACAATAATGTATGTTTTAGGCGCATCACGTAACTTTGACTTTCTAATAAATTTGTATTGAAGTCACGAACTACGACGTGGTTTTTTGGAAACCTGGTAAACATATTCTCGAAAATCTCTATGAACTGGTTGTAGTTATATACAGTACTAATTGTTAAATTGTCTACATTGAAAAATATCCAGCTTAGTATATACTCAGCTTTGCATTCACAAGGCTCTTTAAATTTTATACCTTTTTTAATATAAATTAAAGCTCCTCCTTGTTTTACCCTGCATGAATGTGAAGCACGATATCCTTAAATTTCATAGACCCAAACTTCACCTTCCACCAAGCACATTTCAACTAGGATCCGAATATCACAATTATTATTTACTACTAAGAATCGCACTTCATCATTTTTTTTTTAATTTTTTGAATGTTCATAAAGGTAACAACCAATTGGTTTCACATTGAGTCATTGAGTTTCATTTAGCTTTTTAGAATGTCTTCATTGTCCATGAGTATGATTTTAATATTTTCGTTTTTTGAGAAAAATATCTCCAATTTTGATTTATTCGAGATATTTTGGCAAACTTAAATTTAAATTTCTTTTAACTTCTATTTTACATTTAGTTCTACATTGGCAGATGTTAAGAGTTTAAATATAATGTTTTCACTACACCGCCACTGTTATTCTTATTTGCTTTAGCATGCATTTTAAGTAAGTAGCCTTTCAAAATAATTTAACTCTCCTTGTACTAATATTTAAAAATGTACCACTTAACTAAGGTAAATTGAAATGTTATTTACTACCAATCTTTGTTGTTGTGTTTACCAATAGTTTTTTTGTGTATGTGCAGTAGATACTCGTAAGCCTTCTCAGTGTAATAACCGACAAATGTGTCAGTTCCCACATTCAGAAATTGGTGCGATCAAACGTGTCGACGCATTGTATCGCTTCTGTGTGGTTGTATTCTGTAACTCGACGTTCTCTATAGACTAAAGAAGAAAGAAGGAAAGAGCTGACAACGGTGTACGGAAAACTCGGATGGCAGCAGTTCGCGGGTAAGACATTCATCAACGTTGCCAACTTAATGCATACTTAATTAACTGGAACTTAATACATACTTGGGACAGCTGTGGAAGTAAGCAAATATTTAAAATTGCAAAAAATGTATGTGATAGTATGTAACAAACGTTGTTTAAATCTATTGTTTTTTTGACCAGCGTCGTCATTTTTGGGATAGACTTGCTCAAAGAGAAGGGGGTTAAAACCAATACCGGTTAAAATTGCAGGGTCGGTTCGATATTATATTCTTGCGTCATAACATTAAAATTTTGCTGCGATTACACAGCAAATTAATTCGTTAAATTAAAAAAAAACGATACAAAGCCAAGACAGGTACCAGCATATTTTCCATGGTTGGGTACCAGATAAGAATTGCATACTGCACCATAATTTAGTAATCAGTTCAAGTTGTCAACGTCGTTGTCAACCAGATTTGAGATTTAAATCACGTATTTTAGGTGAACGGTATCACTTGATTGCCTGAAACTTAAGCTTCATAGACACACGTCCTTTAGTCCTTCAAGGACTAGCAATTTAATAGAACGTACAAAATCCGCGAAGTATTGGGCTGAAATTCGATTCTGGTCAAAATAAAAATCACCCGGATTCGAATCCGGAGGATAAACCGACCAGAAACTGCGGAGCGACACGTACCGAGCAGAAGCAATTTGACGTCCCTCTTGGCCCTCTGGCCCTCCTCCTTGAGGGTCTGGTCGATTTGTTTGGTCCTGGCGATGGCAGCCCGTTCCTCGGCCGAAACGGTGCAGCCCATCGCGCAGTCTTCCAGGCACGACGTTTTGATATTTTTCCGCAACACTTCGGGAAAAAGATGGCGCGAACCGCCGCGAAGGAGTTTACCACTTTTTTGACTGCCCCCTCGGCGGAGTTTCGGTTTTCTCGCGCACTTCACTAGCAATCTGAACTTAATTGAATAATTTATTCTAATTAGGTGACAATCACGTCCAAATAACTTTAATTTATTTAAGTTTACAATTAAATGTTTCCACTGAGACAAAATATTTCATCTGCCAATTAATTACTTGCAACGAGGTAAAAAATAGAGATAATTACATTTTGTTATGCAAAAATTTTACCCAAAAACCTTTTATTTGAATAAATTCTCAATTAATTAATTGTCATAACAGAAACGTAAGATTAACTTTAATTGCGTACTCTTAATACTCTCAATAATTAATACGTATTTTTAGAAGCGGAATTGGGCTTCACATCCAACACACCATTGCAACATCGGTGCGTTGGACAATATCGAAATTTTAAAAATCTCATTCGAAATTACCCTAATTACCCCGAAATTAGACCCAAATTAAACTTGCAATTAATTACGCGCAACGAGATGATAAATCTTTTGCATTCTGAACCGCATATACTCGAGAAATAAAGGTTTAGCGAAAAAAAAAAGAAGAATATGGCTGGAAACTATCCCATAAAATGCTCAACTTTTTTGCTTCCAGAGGCTTGTGGAATGAAAATATTGGTCGGGTTTACGTCGTTACCGTAATCCCGCATGGCGAGAATCGATTTCGCGCAATTTCGTCGAGTTTCCGCACCAAAAACCGATCGAAACGGAGCGAAACAATTAACCGGAAACCGCCCCCGAGCCGCCGACAATTCCTGCGCCGTTAGCAATCGGTTAAACGCCACCATTAAGTGCCGATAACGGCCGGCGTAAACAGGACCATTAGCCGCGGCGGTTTTATATCTCGAGTACCCCGCCGTTTTATGAGTGCAAAATCTCGAACTCGAGTGGTATCTTAAGTAGAATTTAATGCAGACTTAAAAGTCAATTACCTATTTCGTGCGATTTAAAAACGGAAAAAAAAATCGAAGCGGTTACATTGAGGTTGGAGGGGAGCGGGGGATGTACGCCCTTCCTGATCGGTACAAAAGCCTTGCAGCGTTGCCAAACTGACGAGGGTTGTCTGCCCTGATTTTGATGGAGTTTAAACGGGATAAATCAATAGGAATAAGTAAGAAATTGTTATCCGTTTCGTGTGTTTCTTTATTCAATCATTTGATTAATTTCGCTTAATTTTTTCATGTTGTAGCTAAAATTTAAAAAAGCAAATGTTCCAATTTCCAAATTTCATCAAAAGTGAAAAAAAGCCTTTTTTATATTATACTCCTCTCAACACTATTGCAGAGAGCGAACAATTTTCAGACTCGATATTTTTCCATATTAGTAAAAATGAAAAAAAAAATCTCTTTTAACTTACTTACATAACACACCAACTCGTCAATTTTGCACTTTTATAAAACACTATTAGTTTAGTAGGTATATCAACGTAGGTATGGCAACGCTGTCAAGCTCCATGTCATATATGTAAGATGGTCCCTACATGACTCTCGCTATACAGGGACAGTGATCATTTGGGTGAAGATAACAATAAAAGTTCACATAAACAGAGTGCCCAAAATGGTTTTAAAATACAGGGTGTCAAAATTACACAAAAAATTAATTTATCTATACAAACAAAAATTGCGTTTTTACTAATTAATAAATGCAAGACAACTGAAATATTCTTGTTCTGTAATTATTCCGCGATCACTTTGTTCCATGGCCAAAAGGTTATTTAAGTTAAAAATAATATTAGATCTAAAATTTCGGCGTTTTATAGAAATTTTGAAAAAAGAAACCACTACCAATATTTTTACAAAAACCGCTTCTAAAAAAATTGTAGCAGGCCATAACTTTATTCTAATATAGCTACTAGATATTAATAGTCCTTGCATATTCTAGAGTCAAATGTAGTGCTCTAAGATGACGGAAAGTAAGGTTACTTATATTAATGAAGAAGAATTGGTGTAAGCGGTCTGTGATGGAGAGGAAGAATGTAGAGGTTAAAATATAAAATGTGGTATGCATTTGTGTTAAAGAGTTTTGTTTTTTCCAAGCTTATTTCAGCTATCAGTAGCATAAGTGCTACAACAAAATGTTTTATTTATATATTATAGTATGGCTGCTAACAGTTCGTTAATTCTACAGTTTTGAGTTTGGAGATGACTCTTTAGGAAGGTCATTGCCACCTGGCTGCATAAATTTTACCGAGTTTAAGGACTATATATTATCTAATAGTTATACAGACAGTTTTAATCGTGAGGTAAACCGTAGATATGAGTGTGTACACCATAGTTGCATTAATTACTTAAATTCCTTGGAAGTACAGTTCACCAAGATTTCTCTGCGGTTTACCTCTTACCTCTTAATACGCACATTAGATATAATATTAAAAAATGCATTTCATTACCGGGAGAGCTTGTATGAACATTTATCGTCATCTTGCTCCGAACAATCACCCCGTTACTGTCGGTACGTAGGTATAGAGATAAACCCGCTCTTTAGATAAACCGCAACGTATCTCCCACGGACACCCTGTATATATACGCGCGATGTATCGATCGTCCTTTATCGTTCCGCCAACAATTCCTATCTATATCGATGTCGATACCCGGTATCGGATTTATACCACCGACGATGGGGTACTCGGTAGGGGCAGATGAGCAAAGCGGTTCAACAACGGTACTATCCGCCTACACTATACGGTAGTTGATTTGTATAGTCGATCGGAACCCTCAACAAACACACGATCAGTACCGTGACAATCGTCGATGGTCCTATGGTGAGGCTAATAATTTCGCGTTAAACTAGCGTTAAAGTGGGACGCTTTCCGCCCGTGACGCAAGAACCGGGATCGTCAACACGCCCAAAATCACTTTTTCACCGAAGCCGCCGCGACATTTATCACAACGACTTCGACAGATGGTGTTTCTGTTTCGTCACGCGTAATACGTGGTTACCGCGGGCCGAGACATGAGGAGTTTGCCGGCGCTGCTGACTGCGGGGTGGGGCACACACAGAGAGAGAAGGAGACACGTACGGTACTCGGTTATTATACGAGGGATGCGCGTCAAGTAGTTCGGAGTCGAGAAGGTTAACGGTCAAATAATAGAGAACGAAATCAAATGAAAGGCACCTGCAGACAGACGTTTATGTCCGCGTTGATGGGTGTCCATACAAAAACGTTGGTTAATGTTTATGCAGAACGTAACATATTTGACTGCACAATTTCTTGTGTAAGACGCATATATTTTTTAAGCTACCCTATAAAATTTGTGTTTGTACTGGGTTATATTCATATATACATTTTTTATAATGGAATGCCTTAGCTGAAATCGTAGATCTTTTTTTCCTGATTTCAAAAACATATAGTTTATTGACATTTCATTTAGCAGTTTTTGACATACTTCAGTATAAAAATAATTATCATTCGAATTTTTTAAAGAGACTACCACAGGCTACTGTAATGCTTTTTACAAAACTTCTGGAGTTGAACTTGCTGACGGTTCGGCACACTACACTTGCCACTGTAGTCCTTCCTTACATTCAAATCACTGACCACATATCAAAAGTTCTAAAGATGTATAACGTCAAAACCGGATTTACCACTTGTCCAAAAAAGTCTCAACATCTTCGGTCTATCATAGACAAAATTCTATTTAAGATGCCAGGAGTTTACAGCATTCCATGCATATGCGGCAAAGAATACATTGGAGAGACCGGACGAAAAATATTAACTCGACTCAAAGAACACGAAAGAGCCTTACGACTCAGAGAAATAAACGAAAACAATCATGAAACCGGAAATAAAATTTTATTCGATAAAACTAATATTCTTGCATGTAATCAATTCTTCTACCAACGAAAAATCCGAGAGTCTATAGAAATCTAATGGGTGTTTTTTTTAGATGTATAGAACTTTAAGTTGACATTACTGTTCAAGATGGCGACCGATTTAACAGCTGTCAAGTGATTTATTCTCAGTTTGGCTTGGCAATTCATCATGAATAGACTTACGCCTGAACAACGCTTGCAAATAATGGTTTTGTGCGGAATACGTACCGCGCACTACATTCATTTTATCGTCGACAAAATCGTCCATCAGAGCAGTTAATTCGGTTAACCATTGAACGTTTTCGCACCACGTTTACTCTTATTGATAACTCGCATCTCCAGAGACGCCGCAAGGTGCGTACAGAAGAAGCTATTGCTGCTGTAGAGCGTAACATTGAGGAAGACCCGAATGAGTCCATCCACCGTCGAGCAGAGGAATTGGATCTGTGTCCATCCACTTTATGGAAGATTTTGCGAAAGGATCTTGGTTTACTTGCTTACAAAATTCAACTCGTGCAAGAATTGTAGCCAAACGATCATCAAGTAAGGCGTAGATTCGTCGAATGGGCCCAAAACGAGATTGCCGTTGTTCCCGATTTTCATAAGCGAATTTTGTTTAGCGATGAAGCGCACTTCTGGTTGAATATCTACGTCAACAAACAAAACTGCCGCATTTGGAGCGAAGCTAATCCTCAAGTGTAGTTCGAAACACCGTTACATCTAGAAAAACTGACTGTTTGGTGCGCTTTATGGGCTGGTAGCATAATTGGTCCGTACTTCTTCAAAAACGATGATGGCTAGAACGTTACAGTCAATGGTGATCGGTATAGAGCTATGATTACTAACTCTTTCATTCCTGAATTGAATAACCATGATGTCCAGGAGATGTCGTTTCAACAAGACGGCGAGACAAGTCACACAGCTCGTGCCACAATCGATTTATTGAAAGACACGTTTGGTGACCGCCTAATTTCACGTTTTGGACCTGTGCATTGGCCTCCAAGATCTTGTGATTTAACACCTCTAGACTACTTTCTGTGGGGCTATGTAAAAGTCATTGGTCTATACGGATAAGCCACAAACGCTTGACCATTTGGAAGACAACATTCGCCGTGTTATTGCCGATATACGGCCACAAATGTTGGAAAAAGTCATCGAAAATTGGACGTCCAAATTGGACCACATCCGCGCCAGCCGTGGCGGTCATATGCCAGAAATCATATTTAAAATGTAATGCCACAAGATTATCTTTCGGATAAATAAAATTCATGTCAATCGAATAATCCATCGTTGTTTTATTGCAACTTAAAGTTGCATCGAAAAAACACCCCTTATAAACAACCTAACAATCTTAACCGCGACTCAGGTCTCTATCTGTCACCAATATGGGAATCAGTCATCCGTCCCTCATTTAGCTCCGCCCCCCTCAAACAATATATAAGCAGGTGCAGAGTAAAATACGAGTCAGT